TCTGTTAAGCTCGAAAAGTCTCGACGTTTGATGTACATTTGGTACTCTGTGCGCATATTTCGGTATATTCGCTCCAATTGCGAATCTTGGTTCATGCCTGTGTGTCGCATAAGATATTTAATTTCTAGTAAATAATCTTTTAAATTTTCTTGTTCCTTCTGAACTCGTGCTCGCACCTCGTCTTCTAATCTTTCGAAATACCTATATGAAAGGAAAAATCTTAGAAAGTCCATCTTGAAGCTTGACCAAAGGTTTCAATGCTTATTGTTATTGCGGTACCACATTAGTGCTTTGTCTTCAAGTAGTATGGGCATCATCCTGGGAACTAAATTCACGTTGATGTCGTCAAGGTTTGCTACCTCTTCTATGCTTTCCACAAAATCTATTGGATCTATTCCTCCATTGTACTTTACAGACCATTTTCGTATCCGCTCTACGGTTTGTGCATACGATAAGGCCATGATGTGCTGCTTATGCGAACGTCTTGTATGTTTCTCTGTTTAACTGGCTTGAATTGAACTATGAGCGAGAGTATCTAGATTTTATCTTATAATCATGTTTGCCTGTGCCATTGTAACGTAGATATTACTTTGTTTTAATTTTGAGAAGTCTGTCTGTCCCTGCTCGGGCGCCAATTGTAACGACACGGATTTTCCCGTTTCGTTATAATTTATGCTGGGGTATCCTCAGTCTTTTCCAGGGGGTCGCTACAATAAATTTATATTCGCGGAGACAGGACTTCTCAAAATAAAAGTAATGCGTTTATAGTTTCAGAACTATTTATTTATAAAAAAAAAATTCAATGACATATAAAGAGTATTTAAATGTGATAATTATTATTATTATTAATGGAAAAAATTTTTATTATGACTGGGACGGCACGTCAGTGGCAGTTGATTCTTTGGAAAACTCTCAAGGGGATTACTTCCAATGACTATTTCGGAGGGATTCTAAATGGTCTATTCTGGCCTTGTAGTTGGCTTCTATGTTCACCTGTTCGGATAATAAAAAAAAAAAAGAAAGATATTGAGGAATATATGTTTGATTTATATAATACATATATAATGGTGTCCAAGCGCGTTGACTTAAAACCGCCTTACGCTCGTAAACGATTATATATATACTTTTGTATTAGTTATACACATTGACATAACACCGCCTCTGTGTCAGATAATATTTTATTGTATTATTTTATTAGTTGACATACAATGCCACCGAGTGATCATACAAAACAGACTAAATTCTTAGAAAATTGCGCCTTATTTTATATGCATTTCTCTTGAACTTTTTGTGTAAAGTACACAAAGCTTAGAGTTGATCTTAGTTGAACTTACTGCACTTAACACTTTTGCACAAAAGCTCCCTTGTGCATCTTTTTGCAGCGAATTGCATTCTGACATTTTTGACGTTTGTAAATGTTTGTTTACATTTTTATAAAAAGCGGCGGTGCTCGTGGTTTTATTTTATAGTTGAATTATTTATAAATAAAATAATAAATAATTTATAAATAAATTATTATTTATTAATTTAAATAAATTTATGTGGAAAAATAATGAAGGTATGTTATATTGTTATTTTTATTTATATACCTTTTGTATTTATTATTGAAATGTTTTCTCCTAATTACAGATTACTTCACGTATTTTGTTCAAAGTGGTGGTGTTACTAAATTTTACTTGCGTGTAAGTTAAGAATAGCTGTAATGAAAAAGACTTTTCTTGAATAAATTTTAACATATTTAATATTAAATTGAAGGCCGTAACACTAACATCGACAAAGTCAAAATCAGCAGGAAGAACATCATTCACAACATAAAAATCGCAACAGACAATAAACGTAAAAACGAGTCAAAAAAAAAAAAAAATTTAGCAAATTTATCGATGATGTTGACACTTCCTGCAATCAATTGCAACTCCAAACATAATCGACGCCTTGCCTCTTGCTCCCATAGAAAGGCGAAGAAAATAAAATTATTACAGCAAGTCTGTAAGCAGCATTTAACGCTAACAATTTGATGAGAAATAATAATATCCGCTTTAGATGTATTTATTGCAGATACAGTCGCTACGCAAGCCACCGCTCGGTATAGGAAAAAATCTGTTTGGTTTATGCAACCATGGTGTGTTTCCAGCTGCTTAATGAAAAAGAAAAATCCAATTTACTTCGAGTTAAATGCGCTATTGAAGCCTCATTTGATGCTTCAAGTTGTAAGCTGAATGTCGCACGCAGAACAGGAAGGATTTTTCAATGAGTAACTTTTTCTTTTCATTTTTTCATATCAGATTCGTGTTGCATGTATCTTTAAACACAGGTGTTTATTGAAGTCGTATTCTATACTGCTCCACCATTATTGTCTCATATCTACGCAATATTAGAAGTGTAACAAGTACAAAACATAATGCTTTTCATGGGCCAGAGAAGTGAGCTAACGAATAGGCCTCTCGTTTTATCTACTGTCAAATTACCTTAACTATCACTTTGATAATAGCAATAAAATTAGGATTCAAATGTTTTCTCCAGTAGTTCAAATTTATTTTAGTTTGCTTTTAATCCGCCTTGATTATTTCATTTTATTGTCAGGGAATGTAAAAAACCAACAATGACCACCAAATCATTATGAATAGTAATCCAAATTAAAACGTAGTAATACTAGAAACCACGTAACTAATTAGTAATTAATCCCTATTCCAATTTATGTCTCAAACTAATTGAAAATGATCAATAATTGGTCTCTGTGTTAAAAGTTTCCGGAATTTAAACATTTAAAGGCTGCCATAAAATGTACAGACGCATTTAGAGAGCACTGTACTGTGTTACCATGCAATCGTTGTGCTTAAACTATTACTTAGTATGCTTACGTCATTTGTTTTTACAATAATATTTTTTATATTTACGCTATCACATCAAAACAAAATTTTTCAGAACGTTTTGGCAAAAAACTTACCGAATGTGATTGGGCATTATCTGACAGATTGTGTACTCCAATATGTTTGGTCTCAAATATTTGGCAAATTACTTATCATTTATTTATTGAAAGGAAAGATGTTAACACTGATAAATTTTATGCCCTACAAGTTGCTCAAAGTCAAGCTCGCCGATGGCTCTTTAAAGTGCCATGGTACATCCACACGAATGACATGCTTAGAGACCCGGATCTAGGTCAAAAAATACATAAGGGACAAAGCTTTGAAGCTATATGCGAAAACTGACAGGATGCCCTACTTAGTACTATCTAATCTCAAAGCAGTCACTAACCGCACAGGGCAGCACGCAGATCTTAGATCAATCATTGAATAATCACGAAGATTATGAGGAATATTCAAATTAGTCAGTGAGATGGGTGGGACTCTGCAGAAACCCCCCAGCCATCACAGACTAAAAGTGCCCAGATGCACTAACTCGGAAAAGGCTCAACATAACAGTAACAATTATTTTTAGTCATTTTTAGCCCTCATATATCAATATGAATTCGTTAATTAGATATTAAGCACTTATATCACCATAGCTTGTAGTTGAATAACACTGGTGATAATGTCTTGAGTTCACTATACCATTTTGATTTTATCTTATCTTTGCTCTTTAATAAATATGCATTGAGTCTATTGAGCATTCGATTCGATACCGTAACCACATTTTTATATCTAATAGCTAATTTTAATGTAATGCATTTTGCAAAAGTGGTTAGTCACTAATTTCAAGACTTAGCTATTTGGTCCCAGTAAAGGGATGCGGTTTTTTTTGTTTCAAAATTCAATAATTCTAATTTGACAGCACAGTTTTTAATCATATATCAAACACTGTCATCTAAAATATCACACGTTAAATTTTAAATGTGTGTTTTAGAATATAGATTGTGCTATGCGTAGAATAGGTATACGCATTGGGTACTCCAACAGTACTATTTCGATGACGATTTTTTGCATTAAATTTTTTCAGTAATGATAGTCGTGTTTCGCTTGATGGATCAGTTAGCAGCATTTACCTGGCCTTTTTTTTTACAACTACAAAAATATGATCCAGACAGTCAATGTTGAGAGTTGCAACCACAATATTATGAAATTTTTTTGGATTGAAATTGAAGATATGAATATGAATGGTATATGATTATAACAGGGCATTACCATAAACCATTACTTAATACGCCCTGGTTTGACTTATTTCGTGCGAAAAACTTCAAGAACGCGTAATTTCAGGTGTTAGTGATGTAAATCGGTCAACAAGATCATACTATTTGGTATCACTGGACTTAATTTTGTACGTTTACACAAGAGATCAAGTTTATATGGACAACTTGTAGAAAATATTTAAATTATCTTGTACTTCGAATCTAAAAGTAAGATCTTAAGTAATTAATATATGTTTTACAGATAGATATTATCAAGATCATACTGTGATAAATTATTATTTTAACAAATAAAATAAGTAGTACTTTCGGTGGCAACTCTGGACAAAATGAAAATTTTGTTAGGCTTGTATATGCAAAACACGTAATAAGATTTAATGTTAAAATTTTAAAAATGAATAATAATTCTTCACAGTTATTGATAACAATACTGTTTTTTTTTTTTGGAATAAACAGTAATTTGGAATAAAATATAAATTTTCACGCCTTTTAACAGTAAAATAATAAATAGAAAAAGTAAGGTATTTGTTACGAACAATGTCAACACGGAATACGAATAGTTAACGAAATCTTTTATTGACAGTTAACTGGAAACGGCAACCATGAGCTGCTTATTAGTTAAGCGATTTCCAAAAGGTTGGACTAATTAAGCCAGCAGTGTTGTTGTTTCATATGCTATTTTTAAAATAAGCGCTTATTCTTTTGTGATATGCTTACAAAAGAAAAGGCCTATTAATGAATTATTGCATATACTTCTCTATTTAGTTTTAAAATTTTTGAATATTAAATTTAAACAGTAGAAACCGTCGATTGAATTTGATTTGACAATTAATTTATAATTTTTTATACAATAAAAAAGGAATTAGATAAAATATTTTTTTTTTATTTAATATTTGGCTCCACGATTATTAAAATAAAAAGAAATATGTTAGAATGAAATCCTAATTTTGGTGTTTTCCAATTACAAATTTGAGGCTGTATTAGACTAGGTAAGTTGACTACATATAGTAGTGGTTTTCTATTATTAAGAAATAAAATAGAATTATTTATATACCTTGAATCAAATATGTTTTAATTCTATATTTTTATCAATTTATCTTTGAAATTCAAGTGCAATTTTGTATCATACTGAAAACAATTTCCTTTTCTAATTAAAAATTGTTTTCTGTGTGCTTTAAAAATTTATATATATTATCAAAATTTTTTTTTATTTTATAAAATAGATACGGATTTTTAGCTTGTCATTTGGAAAAGATCTTAAAGTGCTGCAAAATTTCAAATTTTTTTTGGACTGCTACTAGTTTTAACGTGTGAAGCAGGTGTGTTCCAATCAGCAATTAGAAACCTAAAATGTCTGCGGGATTTATATTTGATATAATTATCGTTAAAATCGATTGTCCCAATGTTGATCTACAAGACCAAGAGCTTATTACGGTTGACGTACGATTTAACGATGTTTCACTCCAGATTACCTCAAGTCGCATTAACGTACTGGAATTTCGATCCGGTCGTAGCTACGAATTCGATGCCAGACCTGATGACTTGCGATGCGACTTGGAAAGTACACCGCTACAACTAAGCGTAAAATATAACAATGCCACAATAGGTAAATATTTGAAATTAATGTATTAAATACTTTATTCAATATGTTTAACACCAGGATGTGGTGAAATGCATTGGCCAAGTTTCATAACAGATCAAATAACGACAAGCGTTGGTGAATTGACGCACGTGGATGAGTGTGATCTGAATGATGCGGACAACGTCAAAATTGGAACTATCGAAGTTATTGTACGTTTACAGGTTAAATGTCAAGAAATGTGGTAAGTATTAAGTGCAATATCATATGTTTATAGTTTCAAAGTGCTTTAAAATTGAGAGACGATTCCTTAGTTCGAGAAATGTTTTATTCACATATGGAATATTATGGAATATATATAGAATATTTCATATATGGAATTCATTACAGTTATTTAAAAATCGGAAGATTAGTCCTTACTTCGAGAAGTAAAAAGTATTCTTCATGTGTAGTCTACATCCTGTTTGAGAAAAATTTGCAATCAAATATTATCGAAATTTCCAAATTCACTTATTTTGGTCTTATTTAATATGAATCACGAATTAAGAGTAAACTAAAATCAAGTATATCCTATAACTTCTATAACAAGCAATCTTTGAGACATAATATTTTTACTGATATGAATTTTTTTTCTGATTGAGCTTCCTTTGTCCCCTTGATTGAGAGTGTCTATCCCGATTATTATTGAATAACCAAACAAATTAATTAAAATTTTAATTATGAAAGCAAGGAAAAACCTCCAATAATTTATACGTTTAAAAATTAAACGGTTTTTATTAATTTTTAGTTCATTTAATAAATTAAAACGGAAAAAAAACTTCTGTAGTTGAAATCATATATTATTTACATTAACGCTATGATATCGTACTAATATCTTCTAATTATTATAATTAAATCTTTATCCTAAGCTTTGATTAAGATTTTGATAAATAAATCTAAATTTTAATTACAATATTTCCTTCTTTCACCAATCATTAAGCATAGGAATGATACATCTGTCAAATAGGAAAAACTGTAGTGCTTATGAATTGTACTTTTGCTAACATATTTTCTCATATATCTAGCGACGACCTTCTTCGCGATGCTGACGATATAAGACGAAATTTACACAAAGTTATCAATCCACACGATATACTTTTTGTAGTGGGAGAGCCAGTGAACGACGATGACGATTGTATGTGTATTAAAGACTCAGACGAAAATAACAATCAAGGATGTGGAACTGCAACTGCTTTGGACTTATCACGTTACCGAAATGTTAATGGAAAGCTATTGAAAACAGCAGACATTCTCAACACTTGTAACAACCACAGCTGCTGTGATCTCAAGGTTTATATATTGTATTTAATTACTTTATCTCTAAAACTACTTCAAAATCTCATTAGAAAGTATCAAATCAGTACCAGGAATTAATTGATGTCTTGCAATCTTCTGAATGTTCAAAAAAGAAACCTCGAAAACCAGCACCCAAATGTTGTAAAAAGGAACCAAAATCATCAAAGGAATCATCAGGAAATACAAGCGTCTGTATGTTGTCAAGATTTTATTATTCTTGCAATAGCTAGAATTTTCCAAAATCTGTCTAAGCCATTAATTTAAAGATACTGCGTCCAATTTAAAGATAAGATTTTTTGATACTGCGTCCATTGATGAACTGTTGCATTTTTTCTGATCATATATTTCATATGTCACGCTTGTAATATTTTGGTTAACAAAAAACTCTTCAACACCTCATTTATATTTTCTTCGCTAACTTTCTAATGAAATTGTTTTAATAGGTTCTGACATAAATATGCATACATATGCGGCGAACAATACGGATGATGAAGTATTTAAAAGATTTTTAGATCTTTTACCCCAACTTAACTCATGTACAAAGCAACAAGCAGGCCCGGTGCAAAGTTCCTGTTCTCAAATGCCGCGGTAAGTATTAACAATTAAATAACCAATCATATTTTTTGTTTAAAACTTTAATAAATTTTTGCAGACGTTTCTGTCCCGTTTGCAAAGAAAACATTGGATGGCTTCCTAAAACATGTGCCTGTCCCAAATGTGGATATAAGGCACCACCCGAAAAACCGCCCAGTGAAAAGCTTACACCTGAACAAATATTAAAGGAATGCTTAGATAAGTGCTCTAGTGGTTCGGATAAACTAAATCCATGTGCAGCCGCAGAAAAAGCGAGCGAAGCAAGCAAGTGCCGTTGCTCCTGTGGCACTGGCAAGGTTTGTGCTCATTGCCGTATAAAGAAGCTTTGCGCTGAAATGTTTGGAACTGGCACTAATAAATCTGAAGAAAAACCGGCAGCACGAAATAATGATGATACTCTCTCTATTTGTGACGATAACCCCACAAAGGATTGTCGTCCCTATTTGGCTCAAGTTTTTTCTGAGCTAAGAGATCTATATGACATTAAAGAAACCAAGGAAAAAGAATTCAAAACTAATGAGAAATGTGAAGCTGAACTTAATGGATGGAACAAGAAAAAACCGAAAAAAAAACGTAAAATCAAAACTACAAAAGGAAATAAGAATTCATTACCACTGCCAGATTGCACTGCTAAATGTTCAGGGATGATGACAACCGAACCGGAAACTATTGAACCATGTGATCCGGGTGTACGGCTCTCTTCTAAAAAGAAGTACGTCTGTACATATTCACATTTCTAGATTGATATTTGTAAAATTATGTACTATTTCAAGTAAGACAAAAATCTTTTTTTATGTATTTGGGTATATTGGCGAATACTTAAACTATATGACATATGTACAATCAATATACACTGATGGTTCTAGATCATCATAAACTAATGATGCTTTAGTCTCTTAGAGTAACAAATAAATATTCATTTAGGTACTTAATGATTATTTATGCTCCTGTCTAATAGTGCTCTTAGTAATTCTCACTTAGATCGTGTGCGAGTTCGAGAAAATTGATGGTAAATTGAAGGAAACAATAAATTATGTCGGTATTGCAGCGAATGTTGGTATTTATCAAAATTTCGAGTTACCATTGTGAACATTTTAAAAGCTGATTAATAAATAAATAAATAAATTTGAAAAGTCTTAACCAAAAATAATAAATAAGTGCAGTAAATAAATAAATAAATATTTACATAAGTACAGTGCAAAAAATCCCTAGGAAATTTAAATTTACCTTACCTCAATTTACTCGACTCGCACACGGTCTTGTTATTCAAATAATATCAAATTTTCTAAGAAATAATTTGTTTTTATTTTACTTAATTTTATGCATTTCTTTTTGTTTTGTATTTCATTTTTTACTTATATTATTGGTAGAAAACTATTTGCTACCGGTGATCGTCCTTGCCCATTGGCAGCTGTAAATACCCACGTCAGTTGCAAAAGCTGTCCACCACGTAAAAATGTTCCAAGACATATGGGTTGGCTTTGGAATATAAATCCAGAGAGCATCCGTAGCGGTTGGAAACCAGGTGCCATTAGAAAATCCGTTAGACAAATGATGAGATATTTTCTTAAAGATTATCCAGCGGACACAATACGTGTTTCTCCTTATGGTGGTCGAAGAGTATGTCCAGAAATCCCAAAACCTGATCCACCATTGATACAAAAACCGACTTTACATATATGTAAAAAAAATGATGAATATATTGTGACACTTCGACCACTGAAGGACTCAGAGGCTTTGAAAAGTTGTGCAGACCCATATCTCAATATGAAACCTATTCAATTCAAAATTACTAAAAATCCAGCTGCAACGGAAATGAGAAACGTTAAAGCTACTTTAAAAGAAATGGGCTTTAGCAAATGTACATGCCATAAACCCATTTCTTCTTGCTACTGCAGAAACTACCTTGATAAGAAACGTTTGGAATACCAAGCTAACAAGGAATGTCGAAAGCGTTGTATTCCTAGCTGTACCGACAAGCTGGTTTTGTCGGACACAACGGACTCTGATGTCGAGTTCGATTTTGGTGTTACACCTCCAGCTGGTGTCATCAAGCCAAATCTTCTAAAAAAACCAAATGTTGTAAATCATGGTACGCAATATGCAGATGGTGATTGGAATGTACCGCCCTTATATCCGAAACAGCCTAACAAATATATGAGACTATATAATTGTGCTACAGGCGATCGTTATGTCGAAGGTTATGGTTCATATGGTTACGGTGGCTATGGTGGCGGCGGTGCAGGCTACGATGCTAATGCCGGTTATGGCGGTTTCGATGGTAGAGGAGGCAGAGGTGGCGGGTTTGGCGGTGGTTTCGGCGGCGGAAGAGGAGGTAGAGGTGGTGGACCAGGTGGTGGTAGAGGTGGCGGATATGGCGGTGGAGCTGGCGGTGGAGCTGGCGGTGGACCAGGTGGTGGTAGAGGTGGTGGTAGAGGTGGTGGAGCTGGCGGTGGAGCAGGTTATGGAGCTGGTGGGGGAGCAGGTGGTAGAACAGGTGGAGGAGCAGGTGGAAGAGGTGGTGGTGCTGGTGGCGGTTCTGGTGGCGGAGCTGGTGGCGGTGCTGGTGGCGGTGCTGGTGGCGGTGCTGGTGGTGGTGGTAAAGGAGGAGGAAGAAATAATGGAGGTGCTGGCGGTCCTGGCAATAAACTCGGCGGCAAAGGCGGTGGTGTAGATATGATGAAATATATGAAGGGCCGTGATGCTGGCAAAGGTGGAAAAGGTGGTCAAGGTGGTCAAGGTGGTGCAGGAGGTGCAGACGGAGACGGTAAAAGAGGGTAAGTCAACTATTTTTCGTAAAATAACAATTACTCGATTATTATTTCCTTATCACAATGTAGAATGCGGAAGTCTGGTGGTGATATGCCTCCACCCCTCATTTGTATGATTGATAGACGCGCCAAGCCATTTGATCCGTGTGGTCCTCCTCAATGCTGTCCCCGTATTTGTTAAAAATTAATTAAAGTTGTGTCTTTAAGTCTATTCAAAATTATTTGCTTTCTGCATGGAGTAATAGTACTTTTTTTTTGTATATATGTAATGCAATGTATATTTTTTTTTTGATCAGAAGACCAACTTCACTAATAAATATAATAAGAACGGATTTTTGTATATATTGCATGGACTAAAAACAATTTCTTAAAAGCTATGAAATTAAATCGCTAAGTGCAGTAATAAGAAAATTTTGTGGGTGCATCACGAATTTGAAGCACAAAAAAATTAAGGTGAAATAATTTTTACTGATCTTAATAAATATTTTGTACTTATGAACATTTAGACCAGCATATGGATATTAGAAAAGGGAACATTTTTTTATACCTCAATATTTAATATTAATATTGTTTATTTTTTCAGAAACACGTCTATTTTTTCAGGTCACGTTTACTCATAACAAATATAACACTACAATTCTTCTGCGATACTGAGACAGCACTGAAAACGGCGTTAAGGACTCAGTATAATTTTTTTTGTATTTGTCAGATTTAATGGTGTTTAATAGTTTTACATTACTAATAAATAACCATAGCTTACAGCTAAAAATTTCCAAATACGATGCAAATGTTATATAATAAAATTTTTCCTAGAAATATTGATAATTTTTTTCTTATATACAATTCTTCAGTTATTCTATATACAATTATAAATCATTATCTTCTCTCGCAACAGCTATGTTACATACATATGCCTCCAAAATTTTTTTCTCTTGTATGGATGTATTCATACGACTACTAACTATGTTGTCATAATTACCGGTATTCCTGAAATAGTATTGGAATTATTGTGCATTTCATGATTCTCCATGTTAAGAATCACCGGAATTCTGCCAGGTTTATACATACAAATGCTATTTGGTATAATTATATAAGCAGGAGATAAATTTTTTCAAAGATCCTCCATACTGCCTCTTAATTGTTAAGACTGTGTTTCTTGTACTGCCTTAGTAGAATTGCTGTTATTTCTGTTTCTTGAGCTAATTTCTTTAAGAGATTTTCTTTATATTTCGTTTGCTTCTTCTGACTTTAAAGTCTGCATCCTTTTATTTCATAATTATCTGCTCTTTTACTGAAAACGTCAGCGCCAAGAAAAGTTCTTGGATTCAATAAAAAGTTTGTATACTGCTCTATTAATCGTTATATGATCGATCTTCTTACAAGTGTCTCCATTTCTTGACTCTTAGGTGCACATGAGTTAACTACGGTGTGGAATACATGCCCCATCTCTAAATGGGATGTTTGGCGAGTATAATTTTACCAATTTGTTTTATTTAATTCATTTAAGTAGTCACCCTTTGGAGGCGCAGTCGTAATTTAGCTGAATTAAATAATATGTTAATAAATCATATACAAATAAACAAATCTCGCATTTTTCGATTTAATTATATTTTTAAATATAAACTGTTTGAACCCATTTGGTCTTAGTATCACCAAGTTCATAGATTTGATGTTCGACTATCTGCTTGAAGTGGTTTTAATTACGGCATATCTACATATCCATTAAGATAATCCAAAAGTGATTTCTTTAATAAAGCTTGTAACCATTTGAATTAAAGTTGAATTAGCCTACACTCCACTCATTTCTTGACGGGATTCGTGTATTCAACTAGGTAGTTAGATAATAATGTTAAATTTTCAAACAACAGTATAGTATAGAACATATCTTTCCTAGTCTCGGATCCTTATGATCCATGAAATACCATTCTAGACGTTTCTTTCGCTTATGTATCAGTGCCGGGCACTCCCCAAGCACAAGGTATGCAGTTTTCCTCTCTTCTCTACAATATCTGCAGAGTTGGATTGAATAACCCCGTATTAATTTTTAGGTTATTTTTTAATTGTGCTGTGCAATCTTTGAAACGCTTTAGGTTGTAAGTCCCTAAAAACATTTTGAATTGTGATGGCCTTGGCAGCCCTGCTCAATAGAGTTCTTCTTCTATTTCCTCAGCGCCGTTCGTAAGAATGAATAGAGTTGCTTTGCTTAGATCACAGAATGTTTCTAGACACATCATTCTTGATGGCGCGCCTCTTCTTGTCTGTTTGTCTGCCATTTCATTGCCTTGAATGTCAACATGTTTCGAAATCCATGCACCATAGCTACATCTGATTGTTCCAGCCAAGTATATTCAGCTTGTAAATGCACTCTCATACCAGTTTGGATGTTACCTGGTAGGATATAAGTGCTATCATCGCTGCCTGGCTTTCAGTCAGTATTGCGATTTCACAGTTCGGGTAGTTACGTTCAAGGTTAAAACTGAAGCATCTATCTAACGCGCATATTTCCGCTTGAAAGATAGTTACATGATAGCATATGCCATCCACACAAGATAACTATTAAAAGTGAATTAAACTTTTTAAATGTAAATATTATTTTGAATTAAATTTAAAAACATGTAGTAACTAGGACGAATGTAAATGACGAATGTTAAGTCAAAGCTTTCAAGATATTGTTAACTTGAATGAACCATTATGAGTAATATCTATTTATTATACTTTAAAACTAACACTTGTCTAGTATACTATATATGTGTCAAATATAGATAATGTTAATTAGAACAAACTGAATTATATGAACAACTCTTGTTCCTTTCTTCCACTAATTTTTATGAAAGGTAATTGTATGTTTTCCAAAGCCAAATCTATGAAACGTACTTCACAATATTACAGATGGAATCACAGAAAAAAATAGCGGATAACTTCAAAACGTAATTAAACTAGTAGAAAAATCTGTGAACAAAAAAACGATGATAAATGAATAGGATACGTTGAGGATGTATGCAAAAAAAATTGAAGCGAAAACTGCACCGTATTATGAGCAGCACAACATTTGCGGCAACATAAATCCGCACAGTTGCTGCTAACAAAATCTTAATTATTAATCTAAGGAAGCACTTCAAAAATATGAAAGAAAAAATAAATAAATTATAAAAGCGTAATTTAATAGAAAGGTCTGCAGAGAACGTCAGTAAATGGAGCTAGAAATATGAAGTATGGTAAACGTTGCCATGTAGCTCCATAAATGTCTTCATGCTGCATGCTAAATAGCCTGCTGCAGTAACTAAAACGGAAACTACCAGACTTTCGCTGATGTGGCAAAATAATAGCTGCAGATGCTCTTGGAGCAGCAATTGTGAGAAGTAACGGCAGCACACAGTTCGCAAATACTGTAGAAATTGTGACAACGCTTGGCCGCAGGACATTTAAATACTTTTCCCATGCAGTCGAAGCCGCACATTGTCACATACTGTTCCATAAAAAATGCACAAAGAAACTTTAAATTATTATTTTTCCCTTTTTACTTCGGAACCGTTTTTTGGTGGAAATCATGACATTTTACTGTAAAGTTTGCGGTCGGTCCATTCCCGTTAAGTTATTGTGCTGCATCGCCACAAATGCTAATTGCTGCGCGATAATATCAGGAAAATGGAAATAGAAGAGAACAGTACAGCAACTGGAATTGTTGCACGGCTTCACCGATTGTGTGCATGAAGGATCTCATGTAAAATAAATATTTTTTTCACTCTCCACACAAAAATGACAATTTTCAAACTTCAAACATTTTTCACAATTGGCAGAAGTTTTTGCAAATAATACCAATTTATCATTATTATCAGAACGTGTCGAACTAAGAATTAACATCGTTTATGATTGCCTAATAGTAAAAAACGTGGAAACCTAAAAAGAACCACTGCTATTCAAAACGCCAGAAATCTAAAACCCAAAAAAAAACTCAGTAAACAAATGAAGTAAATACGATTGAAACTTAAAAAACTTAATAAAAATTACAAAAAATTTGACTTCAATATACGTGCAAAAAACTTATTACTATAAATTAATTTCAATCGTTTCTAATTTTAAAATAAATATACGGAAATATTTTGTCAATCACACAGAATGATTTCAATCCAAACGTTTATTTAGAATCATTTTAGTTCAAGAATTAAAATTAGAAGATGTAGACCTCTGTTTGAGGAGATCGCAGCAATAAAAAGTCTGAGGCAGTGAACGAAAACACACACACACAATTTATACACAACCAAACACAGTCAACTGTTTTGTATTTTTTAGTTTAAAACACTACTCTCAATGGAAAACTAATGTATTACTAGCATACTTGAATAAGAACACTTGGATCGAACACCAAATGTCCCGGTTGTCAGTGCTAGACACATTAGCACTATATATGCACTGCTGTCTTCTCTTCTTCTAGACATAGTTTGCAAGTATATTTTTCAGCAAAAGATATCATTTTTAGTTGTTATTTGAAATAGCCAGGTCCAGTAATCTACTAGGTCAGCCAACTTAAATTGATCCGTGGATAGCTAAGCACTTTTATCGCTTCACTGACTATCGGTTTTGGCATCCGTGAAGCTTTTGGTCGCCTATAATAAAGATTCCTTACTAATAGTCAAGCAAAAATGAAAGCTATAAGTTCTTAAAATACAACATTAAACCAAAAGCCATACAATAATATGTTAAATCTCACAACAAATCAATGTAACCATAGTCTGGATGAATACCGCAACATAGACTTTAATGACAACTGTGTACCAGATGAAGGGGAACACAACATCACAACCGTTATATAATATGGTAGTTATTTTCTACATTTTCCTATACCTATCTTTATTTGTCTATAACAGACACTTATTTCTTTTAAAAACTAACAACTAGCTAACAAAATTAACTCAAACCAAAATATTAAATAAATTTGTTACTGATTGGCATGCATCGAGACTTGGAGACTCAGTTAAAAAACTGACGACCTTTATGAGCTTCAGAAGACGAAGAACTATCAAGCTTTCATTTAAACCTAATATTCAAATGACCATGAAGTAATACAATTCATAAAAAAATTCTTCTTCGAGAACGGATTGAATATAAATTGATATCAGAGGACTGAAAAAACTATCAATAAATATTAATTCTTTAAAGCGAAGCAAGTCACTTTTGAAAAAGAGTAAACACAACACAGAAACCCTTCAAAGAAATAAACTCGTTAGGAATTAGGACAATACAGCTTCA